AAAAAAAATCATGTAAAAATAGGAGTTTGCCAAAGTCTTAGAAATTCTCAGTTTAAATGCTTGACACCCTATCAATTAACTATTCAATATTAGACTGATGATTATGCTAAAACCAAAGTTGCCTACAAGTATGCAAGTAAAACACATTTCATTCAATCATTTCAACCAAGTGACTGTCCTCCTCACACTTGAACACAACCGCGTCCCCGCAGTTGGGAAAAAAAATGTTAGGAGTATAATACTGGTTGAAATGATTGATTAATAACAAAAGAACTCACACATCGATAAATCAAAAGAAGTTGATTGAAATAGAAATAGAGCAAGTGCATAAGTAAATGTTACCGGCGAAAAATAAGAAGTTCCAACAAATCCAGTTGATCATCAATTCCTGCTCATAACGAAAAGAAATAAAAGTTTTCAAAAGAAAATAATATGAAGATCACGAAGGAAAAGAGGCTCTAGAACCTAAGACCAACCCTGAACCATCCAACCATCAGGTGCCAGTTCTAGAAGATTCACCAAGTTCTACACCATCACAGAAACCCGAGAGCATAACAACTCTTGCTGGGGCTACTGTGGTGATGTTACCCGAATACCCTCCAAGCCAAGTCTCAACCGGCACAGTCGTACATGAAGTGGAACCAACTGAGGAACCTGACTCTGAACCACCTATGCTTCTTCAAGAACAGAAGGAGGAGGAAGTTTTGCCTATGGCAATAAACGACCATATCCTTAATTGTGTTGAAGACACACCTCCAGAAGAACCTGTTCTGGAGAAGATAGAGCCCACTACCTACCCCCAAGATTCCAACATTCAAGAGTCTGAGGAGGAATCTAAAGACGAAGAAATACCTAGCACAGAGGAACCAATAACGTCTATAGATAATCATGCTTCATCAGAAGACTTAGACCAAATTTTCTTTGACTCCCTACTTGACGGGTGTGACTTTGTCTGCCCGAAGGATAGTTGGAGCCAAAAGAGTTGGGATGAACTTCTGGTAAGTGACACTAAAGACTCATCCATGGGAGAAAGCATGGTCGTAATCATCAAACCACAAATGGATAGTCAACCAATTGAAGATAAGGAAGGCATCAATTTCGCAATCAAGGCTAATGATGTGGATCAACCTAGGAGACTTCCGCCCCCACCCACATATACAAAGTCTCCTCCTTTTATCCTGTTGCCGCCAAACAGCAGGGACGAGTCAAGGATCCTGGACCTTGACCGAGCAACAAATCAAACAAGGTGGCACCAGAAGAGAGTCAGAAGGGCCAAACTTTATGACTCTCGGATCGGGAAGTCGCGGAAAAAGTGGGTGAGCGTCGAGCTACGGACGTTAAGAAGCGCTTAACGGGAGGCAACCCGTCATTCAAATAACTAAAATAATTAAATAAATTCAATAGTTTTATTTGCTAGTTTTTGAGGTTTCGCTTGCTGCACCAGTTTTGGGGGCAAGAGTTATTTTGTTTGTTGTCTTTGCTTTTGCAGATGAGAGAATTGTAGGGCATACCTTACAGTGGGAGCGAAGAAAATGTCTCACCTGGGGAAAACACAAGGTTCCTTCAACCTTTGGGGCTTCTTGATCCAGCAGTCCTAGTTGAAGTGGGCTACTGAGCGAATATTAACTTCCTCAGTAAAGTCTCTTTTTCTCTATTTTGAACATGATTTGGATGCTTGATGATTTTTTTTGAATTTCACAACATGACTCTTAAAACCATTTTGAGAATATTTTATGCATTATTTCATATTTTCATGATATGGTTATCTATTATTTCAATCTTCATCATTGCATCTTGTAAGTATTTAGATAACTTAGTAATTACATGTGAGCATTTCAACCATTAACTCTAATTCTGAATCACTTTTAGCCACGAGGGCGTGGTTCCGTTTAAGTGTGAGGAGGTAAGAGTTTGTGGTTGAAATGATCTTTTTAGGAATTGTTTTGTCTATATATTTGTAGGAAAAGATTTTTATAGAATAGCCATCAATTTTAATTGTTTGATTAATTAATCTTTAGATTATCACCCGTAAAAATTGGAAATTTTTAAACTTTTTTTTCAAACTTCTATTTCTACTCTAACCTTTTCAAGAATGTTTTCTAAAATGGTTTGGGATAATTCACAATTTATTAAGATTTTTTTAGATCAATTAATTTTAAAGTGCTTTATTGAAAATCTTTTTGCTGGTGCTCTTATGAGTATTTGTTGTTTCTTAAAAAGAGTTATTTTCGAAGTATGAGGGGTGATTTTTCAAGGCATACTTTGGTGAGACCGAGATTCTTGTTTTAGCCAAAAAGCAGTTGGTTCTAGGTCAACTGATGAGGCGTGGTGAGTATGCCGAAAAGCACGTGGTTCTATATTGCGTGATGAGGCCTTTTGAGTGTTTGAGTCAAAAAGCATGCGGTTCTATGTCGTGTGATGAGACTTTCCAGAGTGTATATCCAAAAAGCTCGTGGTTCTATGTCACGGGATGAGGTTATAAATTTTTCTCGTGTCAACATGACAAAGTTATGCCAAAGAAAATTAAACCCTTACACTTTGACAAATACTTTTGCAAGAACATGTTTTCCAATTTAGCCATTTAAAAAATTATTTGATCTTTAAGGTACTCTTACAAATGTAATTATCCCAAAGAAAGTTTGGAAAATTTTGGTTGTTTAGGTTGGTGTAAAAATATTGGTTTGACAAAAATTCTTTTACATTTCTAACAATATGGGTGAGAATCTAAAAGTTCATTATTCTTAACAAAGAGGTTGATGACTATCTTATTTCTTCTTTCCTTCATAATATGTAGCTTAAACTTTGCCTCTGCAATTATTAATTTGCCTTTATACTTGTAATTATTCAATTTGTTGCTTGAGGGCAAGCAACGTTTAAGTGTGAGAAATTTGATAAGTCCATTTCGTTCTTATCATTTACATCATAATCTAAACGTTATTGCACGTAAATAGTATTTAATCATCTTATAAAATGTGATTTCAATGAATAAACTCTCATTTTCGTTCTAAGAGTCATAAAATGGGATTCCACATGAAATTATCATAAATCATCCATTTTATGTTCAAATACTTGAGAAAAAGGGAATAAATCATCAAGGGATCAAGGTTCAGGCTTGAACGAGCTTCCGGGAGGTCAAAAATAGTGTTCGGGGCCAAAACGGAGCGATATTGGGCCAAAATCACGAACCAGCCGCGAAGCCCAACGGACCAAGGCCTCCAGGCGTCCAACTTGGACGCTTGGCCAAGTTGGACGCTTGAAGTTGGATGCCTGGGCTAGATTGCAATCCAAGAAAGGCAGGTGGCAAAATCTGGTTGGCCAGAGCACCTCAAGCGTCCCGATCTGGACGCTTTGACTTGGACGCGTTGGATCCATTCCTATAAATACAGCACGATTCTTCTCATTTTTATCATCCAACTTCATCCCAACTTCGGGATTTACTCTTCCAATCTCCATTATAGTTTGTAGTATAGTTGTAGTAGTTAGTTTTGAAGTATTTTCGGAGGTTTTGACTCCAGATCTGTTCTGTTCCGCTTTTACGGAGGTTGTAAGTTTTCTTTATTTAATAAAATGCTATTTTAATTTATGTCTGCATAGTATGAGTTAGGGTCCGGATCTCTGGGTCCGGACTAGTTTGGTTGTTTATTTTTTATGTTAAATTAATGTTGGAATGGTTAATCTATTGTTCTTGCCTTATTTAGTTAATTATTATCGAAAGATTTAATTAGCTACTTATTGAGAAGATATTGTATGCCAAAAGGCTACGATATTCAAGTACAACGGATTAAGTACGAATCTAGAAATGGATGAGTAGTAATAGAAATATTATTATTCCAATTGTTAATTTAATATGATAAAATAGATCCAAATGATGTCCATACCCTAGGTCCAGATCTATACTTATACTATGTAAAACTAAATTTATTATTTTTACTCCGCTCCTTTCATAATCCTTTCGAGAAGACTTTCATAAACCAATCCTAATCTTCGCCTAGTTAGAGTAATTAAACTAATTCCCTTCGTCCACTCCTCGAGAGATACGACACTCGGAGAGAAAACTAACCCTTTGTTGGGAAGGTTTACTACCCGAAAAACTACAACTGTCAAATGGCGCCGTTGCCGGGGAGTGGCACGGCATTAGTTTAATTTCTTCTGATTAGCTTGGGTGAAGATTGGTTAGAACGATCTTCTCAATTCTTTTTCACCAACCACCCGTAATAATTATGGATAACTCCGGTGGTTATTACGGTCCGCCTTCTTTCTACCAATCACCCAACCGCCCTCCGTTTCAAACCCATCCACCATATCACCCACATCAGTACCCATTTGATAATACTTACCAAGTCAACAATAGATCTGACTACTATCCCTACCATGAGGAACCACTATATGATACCCCGTCTAGAAACTTTGGATATTCGCCATACCAAGATCCTGATGGGGATGTTTATTATGAACCTCATGGTGATCAAGTTGACTATGACCAATCTGGGCCTATGTATGACAATCAACCTGATCCACTCGTCGAAGAAATAATAAGATTAGAACAGAAAATCTTCTATTTCGACGAACTTTTATTCGTTGAAGGCTCTTGGTACGAACCACCTTACTCCCGTGACTACACTTTGTTTGCGGAAGAGCAAATTGAAGCAAACAAGGTGGCAATTCGAGAAAGAGCAAAACTTCTTGAATCAGTCCGGAAGTAAAAGGAGTTCGAAAGGAGATTATGCGAAGGATCAGAAATGATGCAGAAAATGCTGGACGACTTTCAAAGAGAGAGACTAGAAGCTGAGGATAAGGCTGATAAATTAGTCGATGATCTCCGCAAGGCCCTTGAATGTACTTCAAGTCCTCATGATCGGAGTGAAGTATGAACTCCTTGCTGACCAAGCAATGACGCCAATGCTCTAAGGACCGAACAAGAGCATAGAACTCCTTATCATAAGTTGAATATCGCCTTCTTGTATCATTCAACTTCTCGCTGAAATAGGACACCGGGTGGCCTTCTTGGGAGAGGACAGCCCCTATCCCGAGTCCGGATGCATTGCATTCTACCTCAAACAGTTTGTCAAAGCTCAGTAAGGCTAACACGGGGGCGTGTGTCAACCTTTCTTTGATGGTTTCAAAGGCTTGTTGAGCTTTTGGATTCCATTCGAACTTCAGGTTTTTGGTGAGATCCGTGATGGGTGCAGTGATGGTGCTAAAGTCACGCACAAACCTTCGGTAGAATGAGGCTAGACCGTGAAAACTCCGTACTTGTTGCATCGACATGGGAATGGGCCAATCCCTTATGGCTTGTGTTTTCCTTTCGTCCACCTTGATACCATCACTCGAGATAAAGTATCCCAAGAATTCTGTTTCTTGAGAGAAGAATTGGCTCTTCTCTAGATTCCCATAGAGCTTCTCTTCGTCTAATCTTTTAACCACTAAGGTGATGTGGTTAATGTGCTCTTCTTCACTCTTACTGTAAATCAAGATGTCGTCAAAGTAGACTACGACAAAATGACCTATATATGGCTTCAAGACTTGGTTCATCAACCGCATGAATGTGCTCGGGGCATTGGTCAGCCCGAATGGCATAACCAACCACTCGTTGAGGCCAAACTTCGATTTGAACGCGGTCTTCCATTCATCCCCTTCGTAGATACGAATTTGGTGGTAACCACTTCGAAGATCAATCTTCGAAAAGATCTTAGAACCATGGAGTTCATCCAGCATGTCCTCGAGCCTAGGTATAGGATACCTATATTTGATGGTGATCTTGTTAAGGGCTCGGCTATCGCAACACATCCTCCACGTACCGTTCTTCTTTGGTACTAACAAGGCCGGAACNTTTGAACGCGGTCTTCCATTCATCCCCTTCGTAGATACGAATTTGGTGGTAACCACTTCGAAGATCAATCTTCGAAAAGATCTTAGAACCATGGAGTTCATCCAGCATGTCCTCGAGCCTAGGTATAGGATACCTATATTTGATGGTGATCTTGTTAAGGGCTCGGCTATCGCAACACATCCTCCACGTACCGTTCTTCTTTGGTACTAACAAGGCCGGAACGGCGCAAGGACTCAGACTTTCACGAACAAAGCCCTTCGCTAGTAGTTCATCCACTTGGCGATGTATCTCCTTTGTTTCCTCCGGGTTCATTCTATAGGCTGGTTTATTTGGTAAGGCAGCCCCGGGAATGAGGTCGATCTTGTGTTGGATATCTCTTTTTGGGGGCAGGCCGTGTGGTACATCTTCGGGGAAGACATGGGCATATTGTTCAAGGATGGGGATGGCTAGAGGATGGGGCTGTTTGGGAGGGGCAGTGGGTTCGGCCATCTCAAGATCAAGGAGAATGAGGTCCTTGAATTCTTCATGTTCGTGGTGTTCGGTTTGGAGTATAGTGGAGATGAGGGATGGAGGGTGTTGTTGCTGGTTTGGGCCGTGGGTGAGGAAGGTTGGGGTAAGGGAGTGAGGGTAATTTTCTTCTTATTCATAAGAAATGAATAAGTGTTCAAGTAGCCATCATGCTGCACTTTGTTGTCGAACAACCAAGGACGTCCCAAAAGGACGTGGCATACATCCATGGGAATGATATCGCACCAAATGTCATCCTTATAAGTCTTGCCGATGCTCAGTGAGATCAAGCACCTTGTGTCAACACGTAAGCCTTTGCCTTGGTTTAGCCATTGAATAGTATAAGGCTTGGGATGAGGGGATACCTTCACATGTAGCTTTTCCACCACTGTTTTGGAGGCCACGTTAGAGCAGCTCCCGCTATCGATGATTAATGAACACACCTTCTTCTGAATGGTACAACGGGTATGAAAGATGTTCTCCCGTTGTAGTTGCTCCTCGGGGCATGGTATGTCACTTAAGGTCCTTCGGATGACCAAAAGTTCACCATCATCGGGGCCAACACATTCTTCTTCCTCCTCCTCGGCTACTTCTTCATCCCATACGGGATTGTACTCTTCATCATCATACTCAACCAAGGCCATTATTTTCTTGTTTGGGCACTCATTGGCGTAGTGACCAGTTCCTTGGCATCGGTAACAAACGGGGGTTCTTTTGTTGGTTGTAGGGGCTGTTTTAGGTGGGGGAGGAGTAGGATTTGGCTTAGATGGTGTTTGGGGTTTGGAGGTTTGGCCGTGGGCAGTAGGGGTGAGTTTTGAGGGGGGTATTGATAAGTCCGTTTCGTTCTTATCATTTACATCATATTCTAAACGTTATTGCACGTAAATAGTATTTAATCATCTCATAAAATGTGATTTTGATGGATAAAACTCTCATTTTCGTTCTAAGAGTCATAAAATGGGATTCCACATGAAATCATCATAAATCATCCATTTTATGTTCAAGTACTTGAGAAAAAGGGAATAAATCATCAAGGGATCAAGATTCGGGCTTGAACGAGCTTCCGGGAAGATAAAATCGACGTTCGGGCCGAAATATAGTGAAATTGGGCCAAGATCTTGCATCAGCCGCGAAGCCCAAACGGACCAGGGCCTAAGGCGTCCAACTTGGACGCTTGGCCAAGTTGGACGCTTGGAAGTTGGACGCTTTGGCTGGATTGCAGATCAAGGAAGACACGTGTCAAGACCTGGTTGGCCGGAGCAGCTCAAGCGTCCTGATCTGGACGCTTGGACTTAGACGCTTTGACTTGGACGCCTCGGCCTCTGTCCTATAAATACAGCGCGATTCTCCCCATTCAAACATCACTTTCATCCCCTCCCTCGGGATTTGAGCTTAATATTCCATTTCTAAATACTAGTTTAGCAGTTTAGTAGTTTTAGAATAATTTATGGAGGAATTCTACTCCCGATCGGTTCTGTTCCGCTTTTACGGAAGTTGTAAGTTCTCTTTATTTAATAAAATGTTGTTTTAATTTATGTTTGCATAGTATGAGTTAGGGTCCGGATCTCTGGGTCCGGACTAGTTTGGTTGTTTATTTTTTATGTTAAATTAATGTTGGAATGGTTAATCTATTGTTCTTGCCTTATTTAGTTAATTAATGTCGGAAGATTTAATTAGCTATTTATTGAGAAAATATTGTATGCCAAAAGGCTATGATATTCAAGTACAACAGATTAAGTACAAATCTAGAAATGGATGAGTAGTAATAGAAATCTAATTATTCCAATTGTTAATTTAATATGATAAAATAAATCCAAATGATGTCGAGACCCTAGGTCCAGATCTATACGTATACTACGTAAACTTAATTTATTATTTTTACTCCGCTCCTTTTATAATCGTTCCGAGAAGACTTTCATAAACCAATCCTAACCTTCGCCTAGTTAGAGTAATTAAACTAATTCCGTTCGTCCACTCCTCGAGAGATACGACACTCGGAGAGAAAACTAACCCTTTACTGGGAAGGTTTACTACCCAAAAAAACTACAACTGTCAAATGGCGCCGTTGCCGGGGAGTGGCACGACATTAGTTTAATTTCTTCTGATTAGCTTGGGTGAAGATTGGTTAGAACGATCTTCTCACTTCTTCTTTTTCACCAACCACCCGTAATAATTATTATGGATAATTCTAGTGCTTATTACGGTCCGCCTTCTTTCTACCAACACCTAACCGCCCTCCGTTTCAAACCCATCAACCTTATCACCCACATCAGAACCCATATGATGATGACTACCAAGTCGACAATGGGTCTGACTACTCTCCCTACCATGAGGAACCACCATATGATACCCCGTCTAGAAACTTTGGATATTCTCCATACCAAGATTCCGACGGGGATAATTATTATGAACCCCATGGAGACCAAGATGACTATGACCACAATGGGCCTATGTATGACAACCAACCTGATCCACTCGTCGAAGAAATCATAAGATTAGAACAGAAAATCTTCTATTTCGACGAACTTTTATTCGCTGAAGGCTCGTGGTACGAACCACCCTACTCCCGTTACTACACTTTGTTTGCTGAAGAGCAAATTGAAGCAAACAAGGTGGCAATTCGAGAAAGAGCAAAACTTCTTGAATCAGTCCGGAAGGAAAAGGAGTTCGAACGGAGATTATGCGAAGGATCAGATATGATGCAGAAAATGCTGAATGACCTTCTAAGAGAGAGACTAGAAGCTGAGGCTAAAGCTGATAAATTAGTCAATGACCTCTGCAAGGCTGTTGAACTTAAACGCTCCCTCCAATCTCAAGATCAATTGAGGGAGATTAATGTTCAAAAAGAGGCTCTAGAACCTAAGACCAACCCCGAACCCATCAACCAACAGGTTCCAGTTCTAGAAGATTCACCCAGTTCTATACCATCACAGAAACCCGAGAGCATAACAAGTCTCGCCAAGGCGTTTATGGTGATATTACCTGAATCCTTGCCAAGCCAAGCTAGTATAGTCGTACAGAAGGTGGAACCAACTGAGGGACCTGACTCAGAACCAACTATGCTTATTCAAGAAAAGAAGGAGGAGGAAGTTTTGCCTTTGGCAATAAACGACCATCTCCTTAATTGTGTTCAAGACACACCTCCAGAGGAACCTGTTCTAGAGGAAGTAGAGCCCACTACCTGCCCCCAAGATTCAATTGAGTCCGAGCAGGAATCTACAGACGAGGAAGTACGTTGCACTGATGAACTAATTTCATCTATAGAAACCTGCGCAACTAATGATTCATCTGAAGCCTCAGACCATACTTTCTTTGATTCCCTACTTGACGGGTATGACTATGTCTGCCCGAAGGATGGTTGGAACTTAAAGAGTTGGGATGAACTTCTAATGAGTGACGACGAGTCACTCATTGAAGACAAGGAAGAAATCAATCTCACTTTGAAGGCCAATGATGTGGATCAACTGAGGAGACTTCCGCCACCACCTACCTATCTAGAGTCGCGTCCTTTTATCCTGTTGCCACCAAGCCGCAGGGATGAGTTAAGGATCTTGGAACTTGATCGAGCAAAAACTCAAACAGGGTGGCATCAGAAGAGAGTCAAAAGGGCCAAACTTTATGACTCTCGGATTGGAAAGTCACGGAAAAAGTGGGTGAGCGTCGAGCTACGGACGTTAAAGAAGCGCTTAACGGGAGGCAACCTGTCATTCAAATAACTAAAATAATTGAATAAATTCAATAGTTTTATTTGTTAGTTTTTGAGGTTTTGTTTGCCGCACCAGTTTTGGGGGCAAGAGTTATTTTGTTTGCTGTCTTTGCTTTTGCAGATGAGAGAATTGTAAAGCATACCTTACAGTGGGAGCGAAGAAGAGGTCTCACCTGGGGAAAACACAAGGTTTCTGCAACCTTCGAGGCTTCTTGATCCAACAGTCCTGGTTGAAGTTGGCTACTGAGAGAATATTGACTTTATCAGTAAAGTCTCTTTTTCTCTACCATTTTGAACATCATTTGGATGCTTGATGATTTTTATTTTGGAATTTCACAACATGACTCTTAAAACCATTTTGAGAATATTTTATGCATTATTTCATATTTTCGTGTTATGGTTATCTATTATTTCAATCTTCATCGTTGAATCTTGTAAGTATTGAGATAACTTAGTAATTGCATGTGAGCATTTCAACCATTAACTCCAATTCCAAAATACTTTTAGCCACGAGGGCGTGGTTCCGTTTAAGTGTGAGGAGGTAGGAGTTCCTGGTTGAAATGATCCTCTTAGGAATTGTTTTGACTATATATTTGTAGGAAAAGATTTTTATAGAATAGTCGTCAATTTTTATGGTCTGATTAATTAATCTTTAGATTATCACCCGTAAAAATTGAAAAATTTTAAACTTTTTACCAAACTTCTATTTTTACTCTAACCTTTTGGGAATGTTTTCTAAATTGATTTGGGATAAATTCACAATTGTCTAAGAGTTTTTAAGATCAATCAATTTTAAGTTGCTTTATTGAAAATCTTTTTTTTTTTTTGAACAAAGCACAAAATATATTACCACCCAAATATCACCAACCAGTACATAGGAAATCACAAATGCAAAACAGCCAAACAGAGAACACTAGCCACACTACAGCCACCCCTAAAAACATAATAGCTACTTATTAATGGAGATGAAACTAATCTGTTCAACAATAGCCTTCAACGTGCTCTCCTTGGTCATCTCTTTGTTGTGCTGCTTTGCATTCCTAGCTTTCCAAATGTAATAGCAACAAATGGCAATGCAAGCAGCAATGAAGCATCTATCTTTCTTGTTCTTCCCTTCCTTTGGTTTCTGTCCCAATTCAGCTATAGAACAAGAAGTAAGGTCAAACTGAATAAAACCAGAGACATTAAGGAAAATGTCTACTGCAAAAGGGCAACTGCAAAATAGGTGATCCACTGTCTCCTTTTCCTTGGTGCACATTATACAGGTAGGATCAATTGGCAAGAAACCACTCAATCTGTCCTTTGTCAGTAACCTACCTCTCCATATCAACCAAGCAATGAATTGATGTTTAGGAACAGAGGTTTTATTCCATACCAACTCAGCCCATTCAACTCTTGATTGGTTTCCTGCCAGCCATTTGTAACCTTCTTTCACAGTGTACTCACTTGAACATGGCATCCCAGCAAATTCTTTTCTAACCAACATCATCTTCTTCCAATAATAGCAATCATCAGGTTTATTTTCATATGACCATATGGATTTATTCTTCAGGTATCTACTGTGTACCCATTTAACCCACAGTATATCTTTCTTAGATGCAATATCCCAAATTAATTTCATAATACAAGCCTTATTCCATACCTGCAGATTCTTCAAGCCCAGTCCTCCTTCACATTTGGATCTGCAGACTTCTTCCCATTTGACCAGAGGGGGTTTCTTATATTCTGAAGAGGAGCTCCAAAGAAAATTCCTACATACAGCCATGACCTTCTGCATAACCTTACAAGGCAGCACGAAAATTCTACACCAAAAGGAAATCACCCCATAAAGAACAGAATTGATCAGCCTCACTCTCCCTGCATAGGAAATATGTCTAGTTGTGTTATATCCCTGGATGGCTCCACCAAAAATCCCAACTCCTCCCAACATATCCAAAAGTCTTTTATCTCTTCTTTTATCCCAAAATAAAGCATTTACCATATATTTTAATCCCTGGTCAATAATAAGAAACCAAAACTTTTTTTTTGTTGTTATTTTCCTTCTTTTAAGCCTTTTAATAAACAAATAAAACCTTCTCTCCCTTCCTTTCATTCCCTGGCCAAATATACCTCACAACCCAACACACCACCACACCCTTTGAACCCCACAATTGTCCTTCCATTAAATTTACACCCTTAAGGCCAAAACCACTCCTAATAATAGCCTAAATAAGCACTCCCTTACCCCCATATACTGGCCGAAAATAACCTGTCAAAAACCCCCCATTGTGTCCCTCAACTAGGCTAAATAAACAGCCACAAAAATCCAAGACACATTGACCCACACCCACACCAATCCACCCTCCTTTGTCTCCCCCATATCCTGCCTAAGAAATGCCTCTAAAACAGCCAGCCCATCTCCCTCATTTAACCCTTTCC